CATGTCTAGTAGTGAAGATCAAATTGCAAATTGATCTTTATCTATTGAGACAACGATTGGAATTACCTTATAAGATGCATGTTAAGTGGATTTTGAAAAGAATTGCAAGTTCTTTCATGGTATCTTTGTACAAAACTTCCCTTTCCATCTTAATTATTTGGGTTCATTACATTTACCTCCCCTGAGATTTAACTAAATTATCCTTTACTCCTTAAGATTTAGCCAAACTACAAAAAGATCCCCCAAAATGAAAAATGTATAACAGACATAACCCTCCCGTTAATTAGCTACCGTTAAGATTATAATGATGTCATCATACAAATTTAATGAAATCCCTAGATTGCCCCCTTCCCGTTGCTGCTCTTCTTCAAAACCTAGCCCACCGAATTTACCGACGTTGACATAACTGTGGTGGTTAAGCATCGGGACCATACTATTAATGCCCTTTTTCATGTCAATCCGTGTGACACCATTTTCAAGGTGAATGCATTTCAATGTCAAAATCATAGAGATTATTTGAAATATTTATTTGAAAGGTGATTGGAAAGATAAAAAAATGTGTTAAAATTTGTGTTTGTGATGCAAACAAATTATTATTATTTTTTCAAATCATTCCTATCCAAACAAACCCAGTAAATTTAGGCGGTGTTTGGGTTGAATGATTTGACAAAAAATTTGAATTCCTTCAAATTTCTCTAATTATTTAAATTATTTAGAAGTTTTAAATTTATAAATTACAAATTATTATAGTATTTAAAATGTATTTTGACGATTTCTAAATTATAAATCTAAATGCTTCTCAAGCAATATAAACAATTAGAATGATTTGGGTAGATTTCAAATCCTTTAGTAAATTTCTCAATCTGAACGAAGCTTTATAGAAATTTAATTGTCTTCATCTCTATCATTCCCGCATCTACCATCATTTTAACCCTATTATAAGCAGAGAAAAAGTCCGCTTGAAAATACCACACCCCATGGTCAACCACAGATACAACCTACAACACTGAAAAAAAGATTATTTGGAGCTCTAAATACCTACATGAATCAAAACCAGTTGATATAGGCTTATAGTGATAAGCGAAAAAAATAATATAAAAAGGATTAATTTTCTTTCATCGCATAATCATCGGTTTCTTTCTTCTCTCCCTATTTTTCATTTCTTTTTTTCCCAATTCTTTGCTTTCCATTTCTTGGTTTCTTTCTTTCTTCTTTTTCTTTCTCTTGTTCCTTTTTGCACATATTTTATCAAATTTGAGTATTACATGTTTGATTTTATTTTTCTCTTTTATTGCTTTACTAGTTAAAAACTATTTTTTTTTAATGTAGCAAACTCTTATTTTAATTCCTTATTATCCAAACCATCTTCAATCTTTTGACATTACATTTTCTCTTACTACAAGTTCTTGCAAAGAGGGTAAATCTAACATTTTAGTGCTTCTGTTTGGATGTCTTTGACGGGATCGTTGAGATGGGATGTACTTGTAATCTTAGCAAACTAGGGATTACATGGTAGTTTGGTCAAACCTTAAGGGAGGTAGATGTAATTAATCCTTGTCATATTATTATTATTATTTTTTTGCTTATCATTATACTTTTAGTTTCTTCTCTTTTTTTTTTTCCTTTTTCTTTCTTTACCTACCATGCTATCATTATTTGTATACATCGAATAATTCTTTTAATTTTGTTTATCTTGGCATAATAGATGGGTGATACTTTGCTTATTTATTAGTTTTCAAAGTCGAAAATTCATAAGAAACTTCCTATCATAACAAGATCTATATTTTTTTACATTTTGAAGTCTATTTCACCTAAGAAGTTGAGTTATATATATATATGTGTGTGTGTGTGCGCGCGCGCGCATCAAATAGAATGACTATTAATGAGTTATCAATAGTGATAAATAACAAATGAACAAATTGAGCTTTCTTTCTTAGGTGATTTGTAATATGTTATTGTTAATGTGAATAGTTGAGTAACTTAGAACTTAATTAGTTTAATGTACTTAAATTGTTGAATTTGCCAATTAACAAATCTTTACAATGTAAGGTAAATATGTTTTCTAGTAGTATAAACTTTCTGATGACATAATAATTAGATTGAATTTAACAAATAAATAAATTTCAGAAAAATTGGTTAAAGAAAATTAAAAGATTAAGTAACTTAGTGCTACAGTGGAACAGGGAAAAAAGAAGAAAACAAATGGCAAAAGAAAAAAAAAATGTGTTAATAAATGGCAAAAGAAAAGAGGAAAATGGAAAAGAATAGAAAAAAGAAAAATAAATAAATTAATGTAACAGGGTTAGTTTTGTCCAAACATATCATCAGGGGGGCAAAGTACCTATAAAAGAAGTTGAGAGGTGTAAACTGCGACTCAGTGTATAGTTCAGGTCAGGGTGATTTAATGTATTTAACCCAAAAGATTATGTCTAAAAGAAATGCTTGAAAAATGTAAAGAAGAGAAAAAAAAAGGAAAAGGAAAAGAAGATTGGATTTATAGAGGCGGCAATAGGTTGTGCGGTGTACTTACTGTGTTGTGTTGTTATTGTGTCTGTACTTTGTATTAGAAAATCTCAATCCTAACACAATCCATTAAACTTTCATGTCACTTAGTATGTGTCATCACCTGCTTCTTAACGGGTTGACTCAACCCAACCTGCGTAATATGTACACTTTATATGATTAAAATAGTTTTGATATGATGCATTATTTTGCCGAATCAACCTATTAACCTACACTAGAAATACCTTAGCATTTTAGTCACTTATTTTAACCCGTTTAATCATATAATTGATTCAATGTTGCTATCGTTAAAACACACTATAAATTTTTTGAAGTACATAGTCAACATAAAATTTAAAGTTTTCAAAACATTAAAAAAAAAAAAAAGATGATGAAGCTTTCCAAGCACAGTGTAAGTTACAATGATAGCCTTGTTTGGATTGCCTTTTTTTTTTTTTGAAAAATTTCTCCATTTTCTGTGAATATTCTTTCTACACATTTGTCAATCATCTTATATCTCATATACATCACATTCTAAAAAGTGCTAAAGTAATTTTTCTCCAAAAACTCTCTAGAAAATGAGATCAAATCAACCTTTTAAAACACACGATCAAATAGTTCCAGACATGATGAGATATAAAACTTAGTGAGTTTTTAAAACATCTAATTGAAATCTTCAAACCAAATATGATCATTGTTAGTTTTTACTAAACTAGTTTTTGGCCCCCGCGCCCAGCGCGGGTAGCCCGTGACGAAGCCAGGGAGTTAAACTTAATTTTCAAATGATTGCTGTAATATGAAAGGGTATTACTACAATTAAAAGTCAAACAATATTAGAATAGCTCCAAGTGAACACAAATACTGAAGTGTTATCAGAGTTGAATCTTAAAGCTTGTATCATAATCACTTATCACTTGCCGCAGGCATGCTCTTCTTCCAGCTTATTTATCCACAAAAAAAAAAAAAAATCAAATCAGATAAGCTAGGTAAAGGAATTAAAAAAAAATCCCTTGACAGGCGATAAAAGTAAGAATTCTTGTAAATGTTTTTGTAAAAAATAACTTGGATGAATATTTGGTGCAATAATAGTGCGACATTTAAGGATAACATTCCCTAAAGCAATAAATAAAAATTAAGGAGATTTGGTGTTTCCATCATGAAAAAAAAGAGAAAAAATTATTTTTCTTCACATATTTTTAAAGCTTTGCAATTGTAACATTAGAAGAATTCAACGTAGATAGCCAAAAGAAGAAAGAATGCGTTAGATTTATTAGAAAACAAAGGAAAGTCGGTCCAAAAGAAAAGGGCACATTTTTGGGATTATAGTAAATCTTGCACTTGCTTATACAATATGCAAGCGTTTAATTGTTGAGCATATAAACCACAGAAAAAGAATTCTAAACATAGGATAAGAACTCAAGCCAATTTGTTTTCAAAGTTTCATTTGCAGTTTGTCTTAGAAGTGTTTGGATATGTTAATACTAATATAACTATGTTTTCAACCATGTTAATACTGTTTGTGCAAAGTATTTAAATAATTAAGAGAAATGTTAGCGCAAGCCCTCCTTTATGTTATTATACTTCATGAAATGCAGAAAGGTTTATGCTGGATTTGACAAAGTTGCGTTTTGAAAATGTAGATAACTTAGCAATACATATTTTAAGAGAGTCTGAGATTTACAATAACGGTTGAATAAGTTGAGATTTATAAGTCGTTTTAAGCTTAACAACTTAACAATGATATTCATCACATATATAATTAATTTGTAAGATTATCAAGAAATAATTTGCAAATTTCAATAATAGAAAGGCTACAAGTGAACATAAATACTAAAGTCACAACCTATTACCCTCAATCTTAGTAAGTATAGAACATGCTTTGTGCTCTCCGCAATATGCCTTGAACCACAAATTCGAACCATAGTTGAGGATTTAAAATAATTGTTTCTTTTTTATTTTTCTTTCAATTTATCTAATTTTTAATATTTATTTTAAGATTTAAAATAATTATTGATTCAAAACTATTTATGGAAGCAAAGATATGATTTTTATAAAATAATAAGCAAAATTTTTTTTATTTTTTTTGATTGTTTCAGGGTTAATAAAATAAAAATATGTTTTTCTTTAATGCAACATGGCCTCAATAAGGACATTTTCGGCATTAAGGGGGTTTTTGTTAAATGTTTGATTATTCAAAGGGTGAGACCGTTATTTGGACAAATTACAGGGATTAATTGGTAATATGATCAAACCTCAGGGGAGCTAAATGTAATTAATCCATAAGAGAATGATTGATGGGAAGATGAGCTGAAGAGTGAGACAACGATGAAGAAATAAGAGAAAAAATGGGCATTTTTTACTCCTGGGGCTCAACCCCATCAGGTAATCCCGATAAGGTAAAGGAAAAGAACAATAAAAGAGCACGAATATCGCAACGAAGGTCAAAATTATAAGAAAGGCTAACCAAACATTAATAAACGGACACACAAGTCTCCAAATTTACGGACAAAACCTGACCACCAAGGGCATTATAGAGAAAGAAAATGTAAAGTCAATATCAGAAAATTCAGGAGCCACAAATTTGACCTTTATGCCACATTAGAAAGATCAAAATACCCCATGAAGTCATTCGAAGTACCGTCGAAATCGGCCCATGGCTGCACTGTAGCAAATGGGCGTTGCTCTTTTTATATATTTTAGATTAGATTAGATGTTAATAATTAATAATAATAAGGGAAAGACATTCTCGTAGGCTATTGTAAGCCATTGAGGGGAAAAGCTCCTGTGTTCACTTTTCCTTTCCTTGGTAGCAAATTGAAGTCCAGCCGCAATTGTGGACTTGTAAAGGAAACATTCTCGTAGGCTATTGCAAGCCATTGAGGGGAAAAGCTCCTGTGTTGACTTTTCCTTTCCTTGGTAGCAAATTGAAGTCCAGCCGCAATTGTGGACTTGTAAATCTTTCCTTTCCCGCAGCTTGGATCGAATTGGCAGAGAGCAACACATTAATAATTGGCAGAGAAAGACCAAAATACCCCATGAAGTCATCCGAATTACGCTGAAACCGGCCCATGCTGCACTGTAGAAAGTGGACGTTCCCCCTTTTATATAGACTAGGTTTTCTGCCCTGACGCTATGCGTCAGGTAGGTAGGTAGAATCTGATATTTTATTATAATGAGTATGCTTATAGGATTGTTCCAGACTTTTTTCGTACAAGAAAGGCAATGCTTGATAAGTACACTCATGTCAACGTTGCTTGTGTTTGGATATCAAATTTTTCTTAAATATTATTTTACTTGCTTTGTAAACATATTTTTTAATTAAATTTTTATCTCACATACATTATATTATAAAAGGTGTTACAGTAATTATTTCAAATAACCTCCTATAACCTCCTAGCCAAACACAATTAGCACATAAAAAGAAAATGTTAGCGAGGTGGAGTCTTTTAACAAATACGCCACGTTTGTTGGCTACTTAAATGATATTGGAATCACCAGAAGAGTTCTTTCAGCGGGAAACTGGATGCAAAAGTTGTGAGAAACTTTATGGCCAGAGCAATGTCAGCACAAGGAAGACCATGAAAGCCAGTCCAAAACAAAACCCAGCTATTGCCATGAAATCCTGGAGATCAGTTTTGACATCCATCAAGCCAGTGTCACGGTAAAATGACACAATATACTTTTCAATTACCATCACAGCTAGAAAAGCTTTTCACTTGCTTCAGTACAGCATCAGAGGGGAATCATCTCATGATAATGTAGCCTAACCAACTTTATAACCTAAACAAACATAACGTTCAAACACTTCACTCCTTCAACATGGAAAAGGTTGAGACAGCAGAGTATTAGTTGATTTTAGAAAAAAAATTTTGCAGTTTTATTTTGAAAGTAAATTTATTCAGTGCACTGAGAAAGGATAAAAGGTATATAACTAAAAATAAAAAATTGGATACAACTCAAAAGTTGCATTCACAGAACAAAAAATGTTAGAACATCTAGCCACTCAATTACATTCCATGTTTGTCTTTTGGTTCTGTGAAGGCAGGTAGGAATTCCCAAGGACGGCCCCCTTACAAAATTTCTCTTTCAAATCATCCCCAATATTCTTTCTTATCTTTGTGTCTTGCCAATATTTATCCAGCTAGGGATTGCTAGCAGCCAGAAAGAATTAACAAAAGAGTGGAATACAAAATAAAAATGCTGTAGTCAAGCTTTGAAGCTTTAACATATCATGCAAACCAATGAGACATTTAAATGAGCATGGTCCCGATAAGATTCAAGACATAAGTGACAAATTGTTAGCACATAAGATCATCAATTCTTCTTTGCCATTACTTGTGCAAGTTTGTCTGCTGGGATGTGTGTGTGTGCGTGTGTGTTAGAGAGAGAGAGAGAGATTAAATGATAAAGCCACTATGATAGGGGGAAGAACTAAATTTGGAAGCTCACCACCCTGCTCGGATAAGCTTAGTAACTTGGCTACCAGCCCACACCATAGTCAATATCTTAAGAAATCTGCAAACAAGAAGATAGTCATAAAATCTACATGGTAAGCAGAACAAAACTTTGAAAAGAACAAAAAAAGCTACTTTCCTAAGCAATAACCAGACTACTTAAAACTCAGGATGTGAGTAACGTCCTGAACTACATGGTTAAAAGTAAACAAACACATAATTCAATTAAAATAGCAATACTCTCAAGTCCACCATAGTATTCAATAATTGCTTTCCAAGGACCATTATTACATGTTCAGTAAACCTCAGAAACAGTTAGGGAGAGACAGATGCCACCTCTCAGCAGCTGCAACATAACCCATTCTCCCAGGTGCAGGGGCGACATAAAGCCTGCAAACAAGTTGAACTCAATGCACTTAATGAAAAATAAGTCGCATCTTGCAGAAGTAAATAATACATGTCATGTACTGAACAATGTGGCGCTCAGAAGATGTGGGTTAAGAATAGATTCTGAAGTGGACAAGGTTCAAGACATTGCAATTTTATCATTTTTCATATGGGAATTAGGAAAACCATTTCTGTTACACCTATGCACCGATGCACAAACTTATGCGCAATTCATCCGCTTCTTCCTAGACTCAATTATCTGCAATCTAGTAGAAAATTCAATAGGAAAACAAGGGAAGGAAAAAACACTGGCCAGAGAAAGCTAAGAAGAAGAATGAGGAACGGGAAAAACACACCTGGTAAAGAAGGCGAAGAAAAGAACGTGAGGAAAATTCTCTATTTTGTATTTAACTACTATGAGAATAACTGGCAATCATTTGCATTTTCTTCTTCTTCTTCTTCTTTTTTTTTTTTCTTTTTTAATGAGTTTAAAGATAAGAAGAAGGATTATCCATTAAAATTACAATTAAATACAAACCTTTTGAGAATTGTTGTCTCTCTCTGAAATCTAATATGTCGAACTATAGGACCACAACAAAAAGCCAGAGTTCCAATAATGGAATCAATTAGTAGTCCTCTAAAAAATTAAGGTGATTGTTCACATAAATCACCATTAATTAACTGCGACAACAGTAAAGTTTGAAGCACAAGTACAAGAATTTTTGGTCTGCTAAGCAAGAAAAATCTGGAAGCCAAATATATAAAGAAACCAGAAATTGAATACCATCTATCAATTGCTTGCGATTTTGACATACTGTAGGTCGAAGCCTCATGTATTTTTTCATCCAAGTATAGACATAATCTGCAAGTACCACAAAAACTTCGAGGAAAAAAACATACGAAAAGATGGCAAAGGTTTAAAAGAATACCTCAGGCAGTGAATAAGGTCTCTGAATTCCAAATCTTTTCAGAAATAAGGTCAATAAGTAGTTTCCTCCAAAAAATCAGTGAGATAGAAAGCTGTGAATACGAGCTATTCGGTTTGATGGATAATCGAATAATCAGAAGGGGACGGGAATGGGTGGCCTATGGAACGAGCAAAATTTACGCCCCACTGCCTGCTTCTGGCCTTGTATATCAATGGAGCGACGATATTGCCCTGAACCTCTTCTTCGAATGTCACATTGTAAAGGCAACTGGAGTTGCTAAAATGTACTCTATAACCGATCCATGTCTACTGTAGCTAAACCAACTCACGCCTTTTTTGGACACCTGGTAAAGAAAGCCACTCACCACCTGGTAAAGGAAGCCACGCGGACAGCAGCCACCGCCCACTCAGCAGTGCAGCCAAAGCAACTACAATTATACCATGATACAAGAGGCCCACGCGTCTGAAGTGAAATATAGAAGAGGGCCACGCGGACAGAAGCGAATTTTCAACAAAACCGCTGCCATCCATCACCAAAAGACCAAAATGCCCCTCAAAGTCACAAAAATAACGATATAACCGGTCCATTTTTCACTATTCACAAGCGGATTCTCGCTTTATATATGTAAGATTAGATACTTAAAATGGCCTTGTTTAGGGTTTAATTATTAGCATAAAGTAAGCACGTCATTGGATTAGTAAATCAACCCATTTATATTCATATCACTAACATATTGACCCAATTGACCCGCTAAAGTTCAAGTTGTGCTAAAACCTGTTAATTTTGGGTTGTGTTTGAATCGTGTTTTCATGTGATACTAGAAATTGCCACCCTTAATTAGAAAGAAATAGGTAACGGGAAAAAAGAGAATAATAAAATTAGGGCAAAAATTTTTTAAAAATCTAATCCACCAATATTGGGCACTAGTGGAATTTTAGTGTGTAAAATTTTAGCAAAAACAAATCTAATCCCAATATTTTCAATTTAAAATAGATTTAGAACAATTAACGGATATTTTTTTTAATTATTGGTGAAATCCATCATGTGTTGTCGTCACATATTTGTTAAATTAAAATTTTTAAAAATAGAGTAAGATAGTGGCTAACTTTGAACAGTATTAATAATTCACTTGACAACATGCAAGTAACTAATTATAAATTATACGTAAATGTTGATTGATAGAGTTTTTTTGCTTGAGAACGGTGGGAATACAGAGTAAAAATGAGTCTTGGATTAGTGAATTGAGTGTTTCGATTGATCTTAGTTTCGTAGTTTAACAAAATTTTTCTTCTCTTTTAAAGGCTAATTAGTTAACGCATGAGTCACTAGTAAGTGATCTTATTGTTTAAAGTGAACCGCTATTTTAATACTTTATTTTTAAATTCAAATCATCGCGTCATGATTGTTTTTTTTTTTTTTCGACATAGGGGTGTTTGGGTCAATCCTTACGGGGCCCGACTAATCCCCTGCAGCCCGGGTCTGACGTCCCAATCCGACTCGAACACGTTAAGTGCGCGGAGGAATCCAGCGGAGCGGAGACTCGAACTTGTGATTTCAAGATTCACTGGTAAGAGGTGCTGCCGGTGGATCATTAACGCTGGGCTCATTAACGCTGGGCTCGCGTCATGATACAAACGTCCTAAATGTACTTTAAATTGGATACATTGAGAACATATACAAACGTGCTAAATCTACTTTAAATTCAAAACTTTAAGAAACTCTAAACATTAAGGACCAAAACTGCGTTACATCGTGTGAATTTATTTGTATTGCGCAACTTTGGAAGACTGTTGTGGTGTTTTTGTTTGTACTTTTGACTTTGATTTTGCCACTCCTCAATGGCACAAACAAAAGCCTTTGGAACAAAGAAAGCGATCGCAAAACACAAAGGCAAAGCCCACCAGATTTGAATACTTCAAAATTCATTCAACTCCGGCGATTAGACCCGCCTTCTGAAGTCCAGATCAAGCCACCCAAAGGTAAGGTCCCATTTTTTCTTCATACAATTCCAAAGGAAACACGCACTGACACACCCTCGAAAACACACACTAACAGATACAGAGATTGTTGGTATTGTTATGGAGGTCCCTCCATTCCACCACCACAGGTACGTTCCTCCTCCCTCAAATTTTTCTGAAAGCCCTAATTTTTACCACCATCCCCAATCCCACCACCGTCTTCCTCCGCCGGCACAGCAGCAGCACCACCAACACCACCAGCAGCCGCCACCCCTCCCTCACCTTCCACCACCTTCAGCGCCGCAGCATCACCGACCACACCTCCGTCCTCAACTCCCTCCCCCTCCCCCTCTCCCTACCCCCTCCCCAGTCCCAATTCTCATTCCGCCCCCGCCACCATGCGATTGACCCTGTTCCCTCCCCCTCCCCCGGCCCTGCTCCCTCCGGCCAATTTTCCAACTTCATTCCGCCCCATCTTCTCAACCAACCAGCTCGCCCGCCTTTATCCCCTCATAGGGTTCCATCTAACCACCAGTACGACCACCGTCATCGAAACCCAAGCTTTTACAATGAGAATTCTCGATTTTCTGACCCTTGGCTGGACTTGCCTGCGCCGGCTAGGGCTCCGGTTGAGCCTGACTTCCGCTACCAGCCGCAGCAGCAGCGCCGGCCTCTTTCCCCTCTTCCGCCCCGAACTGATAGTTATGTAATGAGGGATTTTGATGGTAGTGCTAGATATAGGGATGATGGGATCTCTGAGGGGTTTAGAAATGCTGCTAATCCAGAAATTCCTTTGTGGGGTGAGTGGAAAGAGAGAGATTTTGAAGTAGTCGATGATGGGAATGATTACCGGTATCATAGCGGTCATCCTGGGTTCGAGAGGAATATTAGTCCTGGCTTTGAAAGGGGTATTGATAGAATCAACAGGGATATTGTAGCTGCTGATTCTCGAGACATTTGTATCAGCCAGAGCCCATCTAGAAATTTTTCCTTGAATGTAGGAAATTATGAGTCGTATAATGATAGAGCGGACGATCTTAGATGGGCTTATTCCCGGTTAGAGAAGGACCACGAGCATGTTGAGGATGATAGGGTTTCATTAGCCTCTTATGGTGTGCGGCGGGAGTTATTTGATAGTTGCTATGATGATGACGATAGGTTGAGTAGTGATAGGGTTGAAGAAGAGCTGTACAGTAGGTCTCTCAGGAAGAAACAAGTGCAGAAAAAGAGCGCTTTGCTTAGGATTCAGTTAGGAAAGGGTAACAACAGAAACAATAACAGGAATAAAAGCCATGATAATAGCCGTTATTCGAGGGCTTATTATGATGACTCAAAATTGAGTTTCGGTGGTAGCTTCAAGGGGAAAGAAAAAGATGATTTTGTACATCCGGATTGGAAAACAGAGGGGCAGAGAGAGAACAGCCCTGTGGAGCTGGATGTTTCATTTAAATCAAATGCACTTGTTGCCAAGGCTATAAAGGCCACTTCAAGCCCTGTGGCTGAGCCGGATAAGAGTTTAGCACCTAGAAATAGGAAGCTCAAGAAAATTAATCCCAATGATGGCCAAGGAATTAAAATGAGTGAGAATTCGGTTAAAGCTGCAAGTTTTGCCAATGAGTTTGATGCTTCATCTTTTTCTGACAAGGATCATAAGGAGTCATCGGATAAGATTATTTCTTTCAAACCTGACACTTCTACAGGCGGTTTGGATTCTCGGTTGAGTTCTGACAAATGTGGTAAAGGATCAGCAGAGAAGGTTATTGTGGTTAAAACTGACAACTCTGCACCTGGGCTGGATTTTCCTTCAGGTTCAGGCAAAGATCTGGGAGTGTTGACCGAGGAAACATCAGTGTGTGATTGTAGGACAGATGTTGTTGAAGAAAACAACGCAGGTAATGAATCTTTGACGTTGGGATGTTCTGATCAGGGTGTTAAACGTGTTGCACCTGATGGAGTACTTTTGCAAAGAGCTAGAAAGAGGAAGACCGTTAGAGTTTCTATTCAAAATGAGACTACTAATGTTGACAATTCTTCTACAAGCAGTCAGTCTGCAGCCTCTGATCTGGATGAGGGTGTTACGCTTTTGAGAGAGAGTATTTCTTCTGCTGGAATGGATGCAATGAATGATGTTCTTTCGCCATCTCTTACAAATGATCTTGCTGTTGAGGAAGTAAATAATTCTTCAGAAAATGTAGTTTCTGATATAAAGGAAGATGGTGTTGGCATCAGTTCTAGTCAGAAAATTCCATCTCAATTTTCCGCTTTGCTGTCTGTATCATTGAATCCTGGGGATGCTGATTTACATGGGGGTTCCAGGAATGAAGATAAAGTGGTTGATAATGAACTTTTTGGGTTGAATTCTGACAAAGATCTAGTTGAATCACAAAATACATCTGTTCCTTCTTGTATGGGTGATCCAGATGTTGCTGATGAGCTTCCTTGTTTGAATGGATCTTTACTGGTTGAAAATGATCTTCTTAGAAAGGACACTCTGTCAGTCCACAGCAATGCTAGCTTGTCAACTTTGAAGGAGAATGAGGTTCATGATGGTCAGATGGATGCATCTACCTCAACCCACAATGCATTTAGTGCTTCAACTTTATGTAAAAGTCCAGGAAGTATGCCTATCGCACATAAGGGGTATATAGATACTGGTTCTGAGGAGTTTGTCCCACTTCAGGTCAATGTATCGCATGAGAATGACAATGATAGAGATTCTCCTCATCCAAATCTATTGGTTAATGATGTTGGAATTCTTAGTCCATCAAAGATTGAGAAACCAACTACCCGTGAAGTTGCTGAAAATCATGATTTGTATGATAATAGTTTGAATTGCCCTGCATCATCTAAAAGCTTCTTTTCAGATCCTTTACGGAAAAGTGCTACTTCTGATACCTGCTTATTGGAGGATAGTGGCAAGCAGTCAATTGCTGGCAGTGCTACAGCATTACCTTTGAATGCTCCTCGTGAAAGATCTCCAAGGTTGACGGTTTCTCATTCACCGAAGGTCGGGAGGAAGAGGAAGGCTAGAGATGATCAACTGGGTATTCATGATAAACTGACTAGTGAAGCAGATGGGTTTATTGGTAGTGCTCTAGATGATGGCAATAGAAACTCAACTCTCTGGGTGGCAAAGAATCTTGTTTCTGCAGAGGAGGAAATTGGTCTGGGAAATGGATCTAATAGTGTGGAAACAGGCTGTCCAGATGAAGGCCCTCCAGAGTTTAATCCTTCTGTTCAAGGTGGGAAGAAGAGAAGGGGTTTTTCTTTAACATTGACCTCTCGGGTACTTTCTGAAATCAGCCAAGACCCTAAAGATGCAACTCAACCAGAATGTTTGTCTGATGCTGAAGAACATACTATTCAACCAGAAGACAGAGTTGATCTTTCTAGCTCATGTGATACTGCTTTTGCTGGTGTGACACCTTATTCGGAGGCATCA